GACCATGGAGGGTCAGGTGGTTCGGGTATTTTGTCCTTTCCTCCCTGCAGGCCGGCAGTGTCGGTGTCCCACTCGGTTCCTCGGGTTTCTTCGTTACGCTGCGCGAACGGATTTTCCGCCACCTTTGGTGTTCTCCAATTCGTTGGTACTTTCTCCCAGGGAAAGGAACTTCCTTCAGCCACACATTGTATGGTGTGGTCATCTATTATCAGTGCTCCCGTACCCATGTTGAAGGAAGCTCGGTGAGGTATTAGGAAATCGAGTCCGAGTATGCCGCCTCCGAGTGAGGCGATTACCGTAGTCTTCTTGTGTCTGTTTCCTCCGATTTCCAGTTCAAGGTCGGCCTCTCCCGTGTTGCGCAGTCGCTCCCCATTAGCCATTCTTAGGTCACACCTTTCCGGTTGGAGTACGGGCCTCTCCTGGTTATTTAGCTTGCCGTATCTGATTTGGTTGAGGAGGGTCGTGCTTGCCCCACTATCCACAAGGAAGTCCATGTAGTGCCCTTCTACCTGCACCGGTACTAACCAGGTGGGCTGATCCTGCAGGGGTGCAACAGTTATGGATGGCTTCTCTTCCTCGCTGGTTTGTTTCTCACTTACTGCTTCAGGCTCCGTTTCTGTTCGCTGAGGCTCTCCCTTATCCTTTTCTGTGGGTCCTGTAGTTTTGGCTTCACCTCCTTGTCCTGGCTCCTGATGGGTAGGGAACGTGGAATACGTAGGCCGTGGTCTGGTTCCGTTAGTCGAGGCCTCGTGGACCAGGGCACCGACCATATGTCTCGTCCTTTCTAGTTTAACCTTGGGCTGTGCCACATCCTTGATGACTGGTCTTGTTGGTGGTGAGGTGTTCCTGCCATTTTGGGGCGCTCTCCGGGGGCAGACTCTCTGTATGTGCCCTCGCTGCCGGCAATAGTAGCACTCCATATTTGCCATCCAGTCTGGTCTGCTCTGTGCCCCCGCTGGTGCTTGAAAAGGTGGGTAGCAGACTGTCTCCCGAACGTCTGGCCGGTAGCCATTTAGTGGTGGCGGATTTCGGGCTCCAGTCTCCCATTTCATCCTTGCGATTTCCTGGGTCAACTCCTGCACTTCTTTCTGCAGCTGGGTCAGGGGGTCAGGAATGCTGTCTCCTTGTGGCCTTACTGCACTGATGTGACTAACCCTCCCGGGTGGGGGTTTTCGGCTGGTCACCGTTTCCTTGGTGACGGCTTCATATTGAGCTACTCGGGTGATGGCTTCGTCAAGAGTTCCCGGTTCCTGTAGGAGTGCATAGCGCTGCGTTTCAACATCTCCCAGGCCTCCCAAGTACTTGTCGATCAGAATCTCCTCGAATTGGTGTCCTACCATTCCCGGGTAGGCTCTGCCGAACAGTTGCCGCATGACAGCTCCGTACTCCTCAGGGGTTTCTCCGGTTTGTCTGTTGCGGTGTCGTAGCTCACTACGATGCACATGTATGCGCTCCGCTGGATCAAATCGGCGCTGTAGTGCTGCCACCAAGCGGTCGTAGTCCTCCCGCTGTGTCCGAGGGAGTTTAATCATGGCCTCCAGGGCTTCACCGTCAAGTCTTAGGCCTAGTTGGACGGCCCAAGTGTGAATTGGCCATTGGTTAAATTTCGCCGTCATTTCAAATTTGATGATAAATCTTTTCAATGTAGTCCCATCTCCTCTTCCAAATGTTGGTGGTTTTTTTCTCCCGTACCTGCTGAGTGTGAGGCCGTATGCTCGGTCTGCCTGTGCTCTCAGTCTCGAGTGGGTGGGATACCCTCCGGCTCGGGGTTCTGGTCTCCACTGACCCTGGGGAATCGAATCGGCGTGACGCCCTCCTGCTCGACGTTTTTGTTTCTCCTGTTCCTTCACGCTCCTCCGTTGCTCCGTGGTAGAAGGCAGATTCCGGCTCCATCCATGTCGTACGCGCTCTACTCCTGGTATGTGGAGTGTCTGGTGGTGTGCGGAGTGTCTGGTATGAGGTGGAGGCTGCCGTAGCCATTCTCGACCATTCCTTAGCGTCTGAATCCTCAGAACTCGAACTCGCCTCCAATATGCTCTGCTTCTTCTTAATCCTCAGCCTCCTGGTGGCCTGTCCCTCCGTATGTCCGCTGTGGGCTTCATCGATCTCCTGGGCTTCTTCTCCAATGTGTACGGTTCTCTGGATCTCATCCTCTTCTTTCTGTTCTGAGGACCATCCTTGACTCCGTGGTCTGTCTTCTCTCTTCTCTCTTCTCTCTTGTTTTCTCTCTTCCTTCTTCTTTCTTCTATCTTCTGTCTTCTTTCTTCTATCTTCTGTCTTCTTTCTTCTATCTTCTCTCTTCTGTTAGAAGAAAAAAGAAAGAAGAAGGAAGAAAGAAGAGAGAAGAAAGAAGAGAGAAGATAGAAGAAAGAAGATAGAAGAAAGAAGAAAGAAGAAAAAAGAAAGAAGAAAGAAGAAAGAAGACAGAAGAGAGAAGAGAGAAGAGAGAAGAAAGAAGATAGAAGATAGAAGAAAGAAGAAGAAACGAGAAACGGCGCGACAAAGAGAGGAGGGAGGAGAACGCCGACAGCAGGTTTCGTTACGTCTTATTCTCACTCCCGACCGATCTCAATAGATACGTCGGGTTCACGTTCACGCCGAAGCACCTATATTTTCGCACGTAACCGTTCACTGGCCTTATGCCATAAAATACTATAGTTACGACGAATAGTACGTCAGGCAGTCAGAGCACTCGTAACGCCTCGGGTAACCACCAGGTACGATACTGCATAACTGTAGTGTGTGTAGGCGAGAAATAAAGAATACAGTTTAGTATACCAAAGAACTTGCGTTGTGTTTATTTGCCTCTATTTGTTTGTTCCTGCTGCCATGCAACACAGTCCCGCTTTGCCACCGGGAGCAAGAAATGATCCCGCAAAAACAATAGTGCATTCACACGCACATAATTCGCGTAGCGGCTACCCCTAGGCCCACTACATTATTATGAGGCGCACTATCTGCCCGAATTTCCCTATGCAGGTATGTAATGGGTACTATCAGAGCATATAAATCAACTGTATCTAAATCTTTGGTACTATAATAGACATTATGTAACATTAGAGTATAGCTATCAGGGGAGAATCCAGGATTTCTTAATAGGGGCGACAATAAGCCAGTTCGTAGTTAGCCAAGGGGTTGTGTGACGTCACAGGTCACCGGATCATTTGTGACAAAAATCGATGAAATCTTGAGTGCGGCGTGCGCTCTCGGTTCAGTAAGTATATGTACATGTATTCTGTGTACGTGTACACGCACGCATGTGTACGTGCACACGCTCGTGTACGTGCACACGCACGCACGCACGTGTACACGCACGCACGTGTACGTGCACAGGCACGCACGTGTACGTACACACGCACGCACGTGTACGTACCTGCGCACGTGTACACGCACGTACGAACGAACGTGTACGTGCACACGCGAAGACTGCAGCATTACAACGACACAGATGCATGCGTATGTGTACTGTGCGGTCGAAATACCATAGAAATACGAACTATTTTGTCACAAATGACCTGACCCGGAAGAATTCGTGGCAAAATTCGCGCATGCGCAGACTGTAACTACGAACTGGGGCGGGTTAAAGCCGCGATTGCCACACACACACACGCGCACGCACGCACTCACACGCAACAAAAACACACACGCGCGCACACAAACACAGACACATTACATGGAACAAACATACACGCGCGCACACGCAACTACACCACACACAGACGCACGCACGCGCGCACGCACACACACGGCGACGTGTCGCCAAAAGGAAAAGATGTAGGGCCGACGTTAAGCATTTAAAAAAGAGCGTGGCATGCTTGCAGAAGGTGCATGTGCATCGCAAATCGCGTCTTCGCTACTTCAATGTGGCGGCACTGCTCTGTTACACGCAGGTCCCTTGCTATACTATTGAGCATGGATAGGGCGCGGACACGTCGGCGACGTGTCGCCAAATGGAAAAGATGTAGGGCCGACGTTAAGCATTTAAAAAAGAGCGTGGCATGCCTGCAGACGGTGTGCATCGCAAATAGCGTCCTCGCTACTACAATTTGGCGGCACTGCTCTGTGGTAGGTCGCTTGCTATGCCAATGTACACGGACAGGTGGCACGCGAGCTTAATTATTCAATTCGATCTAGGTACGGGTTCCGTGAGAGATGTGGGCCCAGACCTCACTGCCGTATCCACGCGCTAAAAAATGCGAGTGCTTGGGAAAAGATCCTGGTCGTATATCTTTGGGAAAACAGGTACATCGGCACAGGTGCCCCAACCCTTTATAGGGTATATTAAAGAACAAATATGGGGATTGATTAACCGAGTAGCATAATTACATACAGACTCGGAGATAATCCACGGCGTTAATTTCAAAGAAATACACAACTTTTTCGTATGAGTAAGTGGAAAATATTCTCTGTGTGTTTGCGTGCGTAATTTCTGAATTTGGTAATTAATATTTTACGCCATATTTGCTGCAGGTAATAAGATAACGTGCCGAGGAGACAATATTGAGATGAAATTATTCTTCAGTGACCCATTTTATGGTTAAGTGTACGCTGATCGCTTTCATTCTGACGCTAATTGTCGGATTTTGGGAATCGGATTGAGATTCGTGTTGAAATTTGAATATTGGGCTGTGGTATCGCGGAAAACACATCCGTAGGCATTTTCTTATATAAATATCTTATATATGGATATAGTGTGTGTGTCTGTGTGCGTGTGCGTGTGGGCACTCACTAACAGACGTCTCTGTACGTATTAATAAATCTGTGGAAGGATTACAGATTCCCATAGTATTTATCCATTTATCCATCCAATCCAGCATCCATTCGTTCAGCTACATATTTAATTAATTAATTAACAGACAATTAATAAATCTCTTAACACAGAGTTCATAAAAATTTGTATACAAAAATTGTACTACTACAAAACGAGTAGTAATGTGTGTATAATTGTCAAGAAATGATGAGCATATTAGAATAAATATATACCGGTCACCAGCAACAGATAATACACACACAATAAGAATGATTTTATTGCTATAACATTACTTGAGTGTACCACTCATAATAAAATCATGACTGGTGATATATTGAAAAAGAATAGCTATAATGCACAGCAAACTTTTATTTGAATTAACTCCATCATACTTTATGCTATGTATATAATGTAAAAAATCAATTTACCCATTATTGAGATACACACAAGTACAAGCTCTCTCGTACACCAATAACTGAGGTATTATGTACAACAAACCCTCGGTTTCTAATCACAGTGTAAAGCAATCAAATATAACAATAGTCATATACGTGCGAAAGCAAGTGTGCACAAAGCACGTCCACCCAGCTATATGCAGATCTGACAGATGTCTGTCAAAATTAACACTGACCCTGCAATGTGACCACCCATAGCAACCCTTGGAAGACACCTGTTAATAGTGTTTCATTGCACTCCGACCAACCAGAGCAGCCACTGGAAGAATCCTACAATTGTTGACCAGAAACCCTTGCGTGACTGTATGATTTTCTGCAAGTTGCTGTCCGTTTCAATGAAATGGTTTATGATGTCATACTTGAGGTCAGCTGGCCATTCCTTGGGTTTGCCCTCGTTCAAGTTTAGCAAGCATATTCTTCTCATCTACAAAAATGTAAGGGGTAGTTTATATTTCAGGAAGGGAATAAATATTGTAATCAAGAAAGGGGGTAAAAAAACCTACGTGCCACCAAAGGTTATAAAAAACACATACAGACCATCTTATATTCTATATTCTATATATCTTCCATATATATCAGGAGTTAATAATTACAAATTCTTGTCATTATTGTCATTATGTCAACAATTTGTCATTATTAACCCCTGATATATATATACTACAGCTTTCCCACCAGCAGGGCTATAGGCACACAGAATCTCAGTGGTTTTCTAACATATCGTATCAAGGCGTTCACTTACAAACTGAGTGAGCGCAAATATCGTTGAGTATTTCTCCTCAGATATCTGGATAACCTGCTTGGCCATGCGCAGTGGCACCTCAACTTCACGCGTGTATGCCTCAACGTTCTCTTGTTTGCGCAGCTGTGCCAATACCAGCATATCCTTCTTTAAGAGCTGAACATGCTCCACGTATAACGGCAACTCAGTGAAGTCCCCCAGTGCTTCAGCAAACAGCAGTTGACACCTCTCCATCTCCACATTCAACCTGAATCGTAAAAGAAACTTTTAATTTAAATGAAAGTGTCAATGACACTGTAGCTCACCGCAAAAAAGGACACAAATGAGTGAGTAAGAAGAAGTCAGATTTAATTGAGCAACCATCGACGTACATTATAGAAACGATTGCCATCTGTATATCGCAATAATAATTTATAAACCAAAATGAATCACAATTTGTGACCATAGATGGCGCTATACCCGCTTTGTAGCGATGACGTTTGAAATAAATAGGTTATGCTGCGTTCCGACATGTTTTGTAAACCTTTACTCTAATATAGACGTTTTATCGCAGGGTGGAAAGGAAATACCAATTTTGCATTAAAGATATTGTCAATGAAATCTTGTAAAACGAACCAGACAAGTGTGACACCACAGACTGTTGTGTCTATATAATATGCTATATAATTGCCAAACCCTACCTAATTTGCATAATTTTATTCATTCACATACCAAAAATGAGCAAAATCCGTTGAACCTGAACTGACTACGTCGGACTGGTCCGTGTCAAAATGGACGTTTAATATGGAGGCATAGCAGTAACAACTATACCCAATTTCAGACATGTGGGCCAACGGTTCCTGAGTTATCGTGACCGAGCGAATTTGACGGGACGACGGACGAACGTACGACAGACGACGACCCATGGCAATAGCTCAGCTTGACGATGTCAAGGTGAGCTAAAAAAGGAGACACACTTTTGATTACTGGAACTCTAATGGCTTATAATGTCCATATTTTTACTTACTTGCTAGTAAGTTCGCTCTCGTTCTTTGGTAGAGGCATATGTACAGGACTTGTTTGATCTCTCAACCTGGCTAGGAGCGTTTTTACCTAATGAGATACAGATGTAAAGGTGAGGTTCTCCTAATTATGACCAAAGCAACTTGGGTTCTTTGGATTACAGCTTATAAACATTGATGAATGAATAGATGGATAGATGGATGAATGGATAGATGGATAGATGGATGAATGGATAGATGGATAGATGGATAGATGGATGAATGGATAGATGGATAGATGGATGAATGGATAGATGGATGAATAGATAGATGAATGGATGGATAGATGGGTGGATGGATAGATGGGTGGATGGAAAGATGGATGGATGGATGGACGGATAGATGGATGGATGGATGGATGGATGGATTGTTGGATGGATGGATGGATAGATGAATGGATGCATAGAATGATAGATGGATGGATGGATGAATGGATGGATAGATGGGTGGATGGATAGAAGGATAGATGGATGCATGGATGGATGCATGGATGGATAGATGAATGGATGGATAGATAAAGGGATGGATAGATGAAGGAATGGATGAAAGGATGGATTGTTGGATGGCTGGATAGATAGACAGAAATTTAACTAGTAACTAAACTATGCACATAACATTATAACCATCAGCCTGCTGGTAAGAAATACTTTGCTATATTTTGAGTACCTGGGACTGGGCAAGATTTTTCACTAGTTCTGCATTTTGTTTGTGAAGAAACTTTTCCTCTTCTGTTAGCCGGCTCTAAACGAACAATACCAAATGTAACGTGGGTAATACAGTCCGATTATTGATTGTGCACATCAAGTATAATTATTCTACCAGCAAATCATTTTAATTCTCTGTGTAGTGTATAGGTTTATAATAACTGATTTTTTACATTTTTTCTTTCATCAAATGTTCCCATGCAATGACTGACAATATATTGATAATATAGAGTAATTAGCATAGTGCTGTTTATAAATTGTGCATACCGTATATGCATATTCAGACCTTATGTGCAAAAATATATGGTTGGGTATCTATTTGACTTCATAAAGATTTCAATTTAAGCTCAAATTTCGAAATTACTATTCTTTATATACTTTACCCTCAGCAGAGAAGCAAAAGCCGTGTAAGATAGCTCTTCAATTGCAATCACTGATTCTGCATCAAACACCTGTAATATCAGACAAATACAGATTTAATATGCATGTTATTTAATCTTATAATTTATCAAACTAGTAACCACCCAATATTTGAATTAACTATTCCATAAAAATAATAATAGCCTAACAAATAAACGTATTCCACAATGTCCCTTACTTAAAAAACTCCTTATCTCAGCACTGACACCACTTACACACTCGCACTTTTACAAGAGCAGCTTGTTTATCAATGAAAATAGACATGTTAGTGGCGTGCCAGCCACAGTGTCTCGCTGCCATGTCATTTACTGTGATATATATGATATATATATTCAAGAGCTAATAATACCTAGTGTACAACGGAAAAACGGGAAAATAGTGCTATTTCACGACAACATTATTCTACTTTGCCTGCGAGTCTAGAATAATTTTATGGTATTGCATTAAGCAGAATTCTTTGGTCTCTAAAACAAGACCAACCACTTGTCAATACGATAATCCTAGGCTGAGATATTGGCTCCTAAACCTCCCCTCCCACATGCCTCACGCCGCCTCGCATCCCGATTATTCACCTACCTACACGGCCCTAAGCATTTTGGCTATCGGTTTCCGTCACCGCTTGGAGCGCTGATAATTGATGTCACATGCCCAAATTTGGTACTCTTACTACACTATATAGTAACTGAGCTGCGTTGTAAAGACAACATTGCCGGCTCCATCATGACGGGCATTAGCCGTGCTAGGAAAGATAATGGGAGATAAGGGCATAGGCGATGCCCCCGAAAGTCACCTATGATAACCGAAACGCCGTTCATTCATAAAGTTATCGCGGAAAAACCGAACTTTCACGAAGCAATGCTTAGGGGCGTGTAGGTAGGTGAATAACCGGGATGCGAGGCGGCGTGAGGCATGTGGGAGGGGAGGTTTAGGAGCCAATATCTCAGCCTAGGCGTATCGTATTGACAAGCGGTTGGTCTTGTTTTAGAGAGCAAAGAATTCTGCTTAATGCAATACCATAAAATTATTCTAGACTCGCAGGCAAAGTAGAATAATGTTGTCATGAAATAGCACTATTTTCCCGTTTTTCCGTTGTACACTCTTAGGTATTATTAGCTCTTGATATATTTATATAAATAAATAAATATATATATATTGTGTGGTATATATTACTAACAAATCAGTTAAATTGAAGAAATGGCTGCATGCTTACCTTTGTAGCGTGAGCAACAGCATTTTCTATAAGATGTTGGATCATTGCCGGACTGCGGGGTGTATCATTACTGTTCTTACTGTGACCCCGGAATTTCTCTACAAGTGAAGATGTGGATGAATATAGAATGGAATAAAACTTTAGAAGTTGAGCATCACTACGTTTCTCATTGCCATATCTGAGCTCAATAAATGCATTTGAAATTCTCGATTTATTGTAGTAATTATTGCCACAAAATGAACATTATGTACACACATATTGTTACAATTGAAAAGTAAATAAGGTCTAAGGATTGCCTTGATAAACGAAAAAATACATACGAAGAAGTTAGTTGAGGTTTTTCATTGTAACAGAGCAGATTACCATACCAACAGCTTTTTGAATAGCAGTATTCATGACACCTTCAAGTGCCTTGGAGTTTTTTAGCACCACAGAATCACACAGTCTTTGCACTGAACCCTGAAACAAACATTGCAAAAGTAATATCCACAATAAGCTGTTTTCATGCCATGAAATAATATATATAATTTTCATGTACTGTGTCATTAACCCAAACATGGGATATAGATGGATAGATGGCATTGATGTGGATATAGAGCCATATTAATTTGATCCTTTCCTCTATTTATTACACAACCCTTTTAAATGAAGCCAGTGTATATTTATGTTCTTGATAAATGAGGATGGGAAGAAGTTCATTTGCTCTCCGTCACCAATCTGTGGCTCTCTTCGACGCACCTTTAGCTGTGTCTGATGTTGAATGAGTGTCTCAGCATTGATCAGATCAGCAATGATGAGACCATATGTCCTCTCTGCATCTGCTAATACTTGCAGCATTACTGCCTCCAACTCACTTGTCTTCACTGGCAAAGTGAGTTCACCCAGTTTATTCTCTACTTCTAGCTGTTGAAAAAATGAGAATGCTATAATTCAATGAAAGAGCATTTCAGTAGCTTACTTTACTGATATACTTTACAGAATTTTACAGTACTGATTAGAGTGGAGAATAATTCCTCAAGTAAAAACTAATAAAAACACAAATTAAATGCTGTTTCGATGGCAAATTATGATACCTCGATTCTGTGATGGGTTTCTGACATTTTGAGTTTAATCTTCTTTTCATTCATCTCATTTATCCAATGGTATTTGCTGGCAATGTCGCGAGAAAGAGTCTCAGCTGCCTCTTCCATGGCATTGCCCAAACTGTAGCCAATGACACAATCATTAGAATAGCAATACTTAAGATGGCTGAATAATAACGTAATTCAAATTATCAATCCATCCATAGCAATCTACTCCCTTACCCAAGTAGAAGCTGATCCAGCAGTTTGAACGACTTGAGTTTCACTGCATCATGCCAAATCTAAATACCAAAGAAAATGCTCTTTTAGGGAAATACAATGCAAAGCTCCATTGAGCTACACAAATTAAAACTGTTCTCTCTCTCTCTCTCAATATCTATATACTCACCATAAGTGTGGCAGCATTGACAGGTTCGTTGTTGCGTTTAGTTAACTGTGCGGCCAGCTCAGCTTCGTAAAACCTGAGACAGTCCTCCGTTGCCGTTGCCTCCAGGCGCTCGAGAAATACATTCCATCTACTGGGAACCTGATAAGCAGCATATTACCAATACGTGGATACACTGTAAATAATCTAGCCCCATGTAAAATGGTTAAACCCCTTTGCTCTGATAATTATAACAATGGTTTCAAAACGGTTGACATCACTCAAGGACAGACGAATAGTTATGCCATAACTTATGGTGCTATTTAAACGATTGAGACTCCGAGATAAAATATGGACTCATGGTTCTAACTTAACAGCAGAGTATCGGACAGGCACACGTAGACACTACCTCTAATTTCAGCAACTCTATGGTAAATTTACCTGTGCTAGTGATCCATCATTAGCAGCATCCACTAGTATAGTCATCAGAGATGCTAACTCTGGACCAGTGATCGGCTGATCTGAAAACAGTGACAATCACGTATAATAATTAAGCTTCAATTTGAGCTTTTTCGTATTCGCTGTACAAAACTGACAATGCTACTACACAACGATACTCACCGTTCTTCTCCTTCGGTAAAATTCCACTTCTTAGCTTCTGAATCAAATGATCTCTCTCATTCTTGTAATCAACTGTCAAGTCTTGCTCTGAGGCCTGAAAGATAAATGAACTTGAGGCCAACATCAAAACACTAACATCAACTATTGTACACAACTATCACATTGTTGGTTACATTACAATAAAACTTACAGCGGTGGTTACACCGTCAGCTATATGTTTTGCAAAAATATTCCCTTATCTGATATATCTATTTCTTTACCAGCATGACATATAGTGCAACATTGCTGGGATTAAGCGTGTCATAACAGATGCCAAAAAATATGCAATACTATAACAATAATTGCGCAATAATTGTGCAATAAGAGCTGCCAAAACTGGACCGAGCCAGATTCCTGGAGTGGGTTCTACTGATGTGGATAATCCCGATTTAAAAACCCTTGAGTCCAGTATAAAATAAAGTAACCGAAAAAAAATATAAAAAAATAACACCAGGAGACTACGATAGGTTCCTGGTAATTATGTACATATCTGCATCGAAACATCACTGCAGTGTCACTACCTATATTTGTGAAAACAAACCTTTGACAAGTCTGTTAGCAGATCTTTAGTTACAGCCGGCAAAAACAATGTATGGCAATCCACTTGTTTAAAAATACCTAAAAAAATACATTCATAACCATTGAAATCTAAAAAGAAATAATCAGGACTTTCACCATCTTTGGCAATCACAATAAACAAACAACAGCAAGGATTTTACTACGTAATCTGACGATTATACAACAGACAGATAATTTAACTGCACACAAAACTATGATTACATAATAGTGTTGTAAAATTGCATTTGCATGTAAAAAAAATCCTATAATGTCACACAGTCTCGCTATTGCATATGTATTATAATGTAAACGACCTAAAACATGACATACAAATTAGCATATATGATTGATAAGGTAGGCAGTAGATAGACTATTTCATTAGTGGTTAAAAAGTCACATTACGGGCTAAAAATCTTCACCCCTGCATTGAAACACCCAGAGGAAGCTATGTACAATGAACATTCCAACAGCCACTGAATAAGTACTACTTACTAAGGAGGCTGATATCATAGTCATCGTTCTCTCTGGTGTGTGTTTTCATTAACCTGTGAAGCCATTCTGTAGGAGTTTCCCCACCAACTGTCATCTGAACAAAGTCCTGTACCACCTGATATAACATTAGACATGGAAACCATGTCATAACGATTCTTTATATGCCATAATAGATTATGGATGAACTGGACTTATAATAATTATAATAATTTGCCAAATTCTGCAAATCTGTTTGAAAACTACAAACATTAACACATGTTTGTGTTGGAAATAAATATGCAGTTCATGGTACTGTCACCATGGGGGTGGTCAGACACATACCCAAATCAATGGTGGAAAGCTTAAGAGGTCATGGTTGAAGTCATCAGTCCACTTTGCTTTTGACATTTGAGATCTTAAAGCAAAGAGCTGTAATAATCAAATATGTCATTCAGTGTGATGTATTTAAAACTATAAAACAGTGTTCTACATAAAACCTCTCCAAAACATCTACACTCAATGAGAGGCTGAGCATATATAAGGTGTGTAACTAAGCGATATCATGTTAATTTTTTTCCCTCCATATTTAAAAATGCATTAGATATAATCATATATATATATATATCAGGAGTTAATAAAGACAAAGGAGTTTGACACGTATTTGGTACCGATTTCACTAGATTTTTGTCTTACGAGTTTGATGTGAATAAAAATACAAATGTATACAAACACGAGCTTCTTTTGTTCACTGGTCCTTATTCTATCTTCCGGTAGTATTACAAACCGCGTAGCTTCCTTCGTTTTGACATAAATCGTACTTTTGCACGACATGGTTTTCACGTTATTTACCGTCGTGTGGCGAGGCCAAGCGGTAAATTCGCATACACAGCAACTGGAAGCAGGCGCGGCAGGGCTTTTAGGCCGTAGTCTAGCCAAGTGCAGAAAATGCGCTTAGAAATTAAGTTACGTTGCACCCATGCTGGGTTTAAAAATTAAAACTATTTTACATTAAAACTATAGTTAGAATGCCTTGTTTTTATAGTTGAATCCTGCAGTTTTTTTAAATAAACGCTGCGCTGGTAAAATATCTGAACTACTTCACAGGGTTCTCCAAGCTTTTTCATTATAGCATGGCGGGTGCTGCCTTTACGGTCCTAGTTGCAAATCGCCGAAGGCGGTTTGTGTGCTAGGGGGTCTGGGGGCTATGATATTTAGAGTGGCGGGTGCATTTTAGGCTGGCGGGGCTCAAGGATAGCCTGGCGGGCCGCCAGGCTATAAGTGCTCTTGGAGAACCCTGCTTCACCCGCGGAGTAATGATGTGTATGAATCTTAGCGAGTAAATTGACGCTCCAGCTGATTGTAGCTTTTCGCACGTGTTTTGCATAGCAACCGTTACTATGCAATTGCAGGCAAACGCATGTGTTTACACCTACCTTACTTATCATGACCATCTGTATGTGATAAAGGTGAGAGTTAACGTCGCCATCACTCGGCTTTGTTAGCCGAACAAAAACTTCTTCGGGAGATAACGTACGGGAGACGCGATCCCTGTGTATGCGAATTTACCGCTTGGCCTCGCCACACGACAGTAAATAATGTGAAAACCATGTCGTGCAAAAGTATGATTTATGTCAAAACGAAGGAAGCTACGCGGTTTGTAATACTACCGGAAGTTAGAATAAGAACCAGTGAACAAAAGAAGCTCAACTCGTACGACAAAATGTAGTGAAATCAGTACCAAATACGTGTCAAACTCCTTTGTCTTTATTAACTCCTGATATGTATATATGTATATCAAACCCTTATCAGTATCTATGCATATAATGTACCTGTGTTCGCCTTGCGAGAAGTTCCAGGTAATCTATATCGGACTGGTCTATAATCTTCACAGAGTTATAAATCAGATAGGAACTCAGAAGTGTTGACACTGCAAATATCTTGGCATCATAATTTTCTGTTACATTATTAGCTGCAAATCCTGTAACAAAGAAGCGAAATACTGATGGGAGAAATATGAGTACAATAACACTTCATAAAACACCTATCTAAACTGTGTGATGGTGCGTTATTTCTATCTAAGCCTTATACCGCAGGGTGCGAAATTAACGGGAGTCCGGAGTCAAATACTCCCTGATTTACTGTCGGACTCCCTGATTTGACATATGCAGGAGTCCGTGTGACTCCCTTAAAGTTCTGCCATTCTAACTAGTTCGTTCCAGAGCACGGCCTCGCGGAATTACCATATTTTTTCAGTAAAAGTCCAAAGAAAATTTTTTGCAGACGTACAACCGCATGAATCTTAAAAATAAGCACATGCGTTATTGTTAATATCTTTCATTTTGAACTTCAGACTGTGGACTCCCTCATTTTGCTGCGGACGACCTCTTTTTGAGGGTAGGGAGTCCGTTGGACTCCCGTGTTCAAAAGTTAATTTCTACCCCTGTTACCGTGTGAAATACAACACAAAAATAAATCTAGATTATCGTAAATGATGTGAACATATTCTATCACACACCAATGTAAATCGGTTGGCATTGTTTTGCTTTGTATAAGATAGTACTACAAGTACGATACTATTATCTTAATGAATCTATTCATCATACTGAGACATTTCAGATATTTCTAGTGTTAAAGTGATTTATTAGCTTACCTTCTGTATCAAGAAATACAACAGAGACATCTAAACCGGATGGGAGCTGCATATTCATGGGCTGTAAACAATTTTAAAACAACATAGTTGTTTGCTACATAGTTGTTGCTACAGGGTACGGAAACATACATTATTAAGTTTTATATGTAGTATTGATAAATCACTCGAGATAGCATCTTATTTTTTAGATAAGTTCTACTGTCAATCCTAGCCCAAAAATGTTAATTTCTGCACAAAAAGATACAGACTATGAGGAAAAGTTACAGAGACAATATTTTACATTTGGAACTCTACGATTTAAATACACCAACATTGCCTTACACCACTAAAAGAATACTTGTTTATGCATAAATCACAATTGTATCCTTTATGTTTAAAATGACTTATTTTAATCATACTTTATCAATGAGTGTGTTGTTATTAGAAATACCTTTCCCCACATCCAAATGCCCATAGTTTCAGGTCTCACGAATGGGCCAATGCCAAAACCCTTTGACTTTCCCATCAACTGGTTCATCAGAAATGATTTGCCTGAATGAAATTTTCCAACGACAGCTATAGTGACAACTGGTTGCACAATTCTGTGTAGAAGCTGAAAAGCAAATGCATTGTAATTACTTCCCTTTCTTTAGCCATGTTGGCAATAACATATGATAGTATTTTTTATATATATAATTTTTGCTCGACCCTACTAGAAAGGCACATAACCATATTTAATATAAAGCGTGCATATAAACAAACATTTTTATCCACTCTTGATAATTTCATGAACATATCTAATTTATACTATTAAAGCCGCAATATGCGCATCCAAACGCTAATTTTTCCAGTACTAGACTAGCAAATACTTCGTGTCATGCATAATCATACTACCTTATGACAAAATAAACTCTAGTTCCTCCCATTTCACTGCGCATTGTCTTATAAAAGGTATTTGAAAATACCTCCAATGTTGTTCAAATTCTCCGATGTTGTTGACACGTTCGCGTTGCTCTGCCAAGCAACCGTACAGCGAGTACGTGCAACCCGTAGCAACATGTGACGTCACCTAACCGATTCAGGGCTAAATTGTTTGGCAAACTATTCGGCGTTGGCGCCAGATTGCCAGATTTTGCACCTCTTTCTTGTGGGTTTTAAGCAAACGCGCAGTGAAATGGGAGGAACTAGAGTTTATTTTGTCATTAATGGTAGGTGTGATTTATGCCATGACACGAAGTATTTGCTAGTCTAGTACTGGAGAAATTAGCTTTTGGATGCGCATATTGCGGCTTTAACAGCATGTGTGAACATGTGTGTGTGCGCGCGCATGCATTCATTGCAGGGTGCGAAATTAACGGGAGTCCGGAGTCAAATACTCCCCGATTTACTGCCGGACTCCCTGATTTGACATATATGCAGGAGTCCGTGTGACTCCTGAAATTCTGCCATACTAACTAGTTCATTCCAGGCACGGCCTCATGGAATTACCGTATTTTTTTCAGCAAATGTTCCAAAGAAAATTTGCAGAGGTGCAACCGCATGAATCTTCAAAATAAGCACATGCGTTATTGTTAATATCCTTAATTTTGAACTTCAGACTGCGGAGTGCGGACTCCCTCATTTTGCCGCAGACTCCCTCTTTGTGAGAACAGGGAGTCCAGTCCGTTGGACTCCCTTGCTCAAAGGTTAATTTTTACCCTGCATTGTAATATTAATCCACATTTCAACTTTATACAGTTACTTATAATAATAAAATAGTTTTCACAAATCAAAATTGCCTGCTAATTCCTTAGTATTAAACCTAAATCTATGACCAGAAAAGTCACAAACGTAACCTTGACGTTTTCTTCCACCATGATAAGCCTCTTGTGAGTAGCAGGATCAGGCTTTACAAGCTGTATTGTGGTTGTGTCTGGGAAACCCGATCCATGCCAGGGATTCAATTGCTCATCATACTCGTGTGGTAGTATCCCCCTTTCAACATTTCTTGTGCCATAGTTATCAGCTTGATTTTCAACGTCTTCTGAAATAACAATTAATACACCTATTGCATTGTAAGCCAGCGCAAGGACAGCTTCTAATTTCAGACATCTTTCTCTCTTTCTCTATTGCTGATAATCAACAGATACTATGCCCAAATCTACTTCAAGACCCCATTCATTTAAATACATTATAATGATCATTATCACTATAACCAGATTTTAAGGAAATCACTTAAATTGAAAAATCATCAAAGTCCTGCAGCATTAATTTATTAACAACGGCAGTGCACGAAATTAGCACTATTTTGCGGCGGCCGCGCGGTCCAACCCTCTAACCTGCCGGTTCAACCCGTCATATAAATTATTCAGTCCACTTGGCCTATTAAAAATTTGGCCTATCTTGCCTTTATATCAACAATATTTACCAATTTCCTGACTAGTTTTTACTTAGTGACCACTAAGAAGTAAATCATGTTCCAGCAATTCCTGTCAAACAAGCTAGTAGAACTCCACTGATAGCAATAAAATACTGAAATACTATGAGTATGCCTAATAAACACAAAGCTAATACTTTTATTAAAGGGATTACGTCACCGTAAAGAGTAAAAAATGAAAAAAATATTTCCACTTTTTCACAAAATTTTGGTTCACTTTTTATGGTTAAATTGCTGCATTATACTTCCTATTTTACTATATTGTTCGATGTGAACATACACTCGTGACTCATACATGTATAGCCCATAGCAAGCAATTAATGTTGGGAACATTAATTCAAATCGTCCAGGTTTTTTGGATTTTTAACTAGTTGAGAAACAATCTCATCAGGTAAGAATTTGGCAATTTGTTTAGTCCCGTTAGTTCTTACTTTTAATGCCAATTTTTTTTTTTTTACAAATTTTACCATAGAAAATTCGTGACGTAGTCCCTTTAAGGGCCTGTTCAAACTTGTAAGGGTCTGTTCAATTTGTCTAAGAGCCTGTTTAAAATTTTGGGTAGGCCTGTTCACATTTTGGCTAATTTCATGCCCTGCAACGGAGATATTTGCAATTTTCTACATTCTATGATGACGGAACTAATACTAATAGTTTATAATATACATGTATATATATCAAGAGCTAATAATACCTAGAGTGTACAACGGAAAAAGGGGAAAATAGTGCTATTTCACGACATGATTATTCTACTTTGTCTGCGAGTCTAGAATAATTTTATGGTACTGCATTAAGCAGAATTCTTTGCTATCTAAAACAAGACCAACCGCTTGTCAATACGATACTCCTAGGCTGAGATATTGGCTCCTAAACCTCCCCTCCCACAGGCATCACAGCGCCTCGAATCCACATCAGTCAGCAACCTACACGCCTCTAAGCACTTCGGCTATCGGTTTCCGTCACCGCTTGGAGCGCTGATAATTGATGTCACATGCCCAAATTTGGTACTCTTACTACACCATATAGTAACTGAACTGCGTTGTAAAAACTTAATTAAGGAAACATTTCCGGCTCCATCATGACGGGCATTAGCCGTGCTAGGAAAGATAATGGGAGATAAGGGCATAGGCGATGCCCCCGAAAGTTACCGATGATAAACGCAATGCCGTTCATTCATAAAGTTATAGCGGAAAAACCGAACTTTCACGAAGCAACCTTAGAGGCGTGTAGGTTGCTGACTGATGTGGATTCGAGGCGCTGTGATGCCTGTGGGAGGGAGGTTTAGGAGCCAATATCTCAGCCTAGGAGTATCGTATTGACAAGCGGTTGGTCTTGTTTTAGAGAGCAAAGAATTCTGCTTAATGCAGTACCATAAAATTATTCTAGACTCGCAGGCAAAGTAGAATAATCATGTCGTGAAATAGCACTATTTTCCCGTTTTTCCGTTGTACACTCTAGGTATTATTAGCTCTTGATATATATGCATATATACATACATGTATATGTATGTATGTACATACATATACATGTACATACATAATATATGTATTATGTACATACATCATACATGCTTATACATGTATATACATGTATATATGTACATACACTGTAAATGTTTAGAATTGACCAAGGTACGTGCATTTGCTACTGTTATAAATACTCACTGTGACCTATCTGTGGCCGACTACCACCACCAAACTTCAAAAAAATTTGTGTTGTTATAAGTAACTTAACAAGATAAGTGATCTGTTTCAATCTCCCATTTTCTGCCCACTAATTATTGCACGCAGTGACGTCATCATATCTATGTAAACAAACCCGCGCAGCAACAGCATGTTCAAAACAGCTGTAACAGCATTTCTGATTCGCATGTTAGGGTGGCACGCAGATATTCTGGGATTGTGCACGCTCATAATGTCACTGTTTAAAGGGCGCTCCAAGGTTTGCAATGCTTAGCCAAGTAAGCATATCATATACCATATGCGGGGATTTTGAACGGTTTGGGAAACCACATACACAATAATCTACATAGACATAGTTGGGTGCCATCTATCAAATAAAGTGGGTATTGAAATTTTGACGAAATTTCACCTGCAACCATAAACGGTAAAACCTATCCTATAATATATTCCTCAGTAATAAGTCACGTTGACTTACAGTTACATGACATTCTAACTATCTTACCACTATAACAGACACAAAGAAGCTAAACTTAAGGATCCATTTAAAGCCACAATATGCGCATCCAAAAATTCCAAACGCTAATTTCTCCAGTACTAGACTAGCAAATACTTCGTGTCATGCATAATCATACTACCTTATGAAGCCACAATATGCGCATCCAAAAATTCCAAACGCTAATTTCTCCAGTACTAGACTAGCAAATACTTCGTGTCATGCATAATCATACTACCTTATGACAAAATAAACCGTAGTACCATCCATTTCACTGCGCGTTTGCTTAAAACCCACAAGAAAGAGGTGCAAAATCTGGCAATCTGGCGCCAACGCCGAATTGTTTGCCAAACAATTTAGCTCCGAATCGGTTAGGTGACGTCACATGTTGCTACGGGTTGCACCCGCTCAATGTTCTCATTAGGAACCGGCCACCGGCCGAATTTACTGTCTACTCTGCTGTTTCGGCCGGTTACAATTGGCTCAAGTATGATTTATTTATTTTTTTTCATTTGCATTTAGTTTGCTCTAATTATTCGCCAAAGTGAAAGTGTTTTATGAGCTACTACTAATAAATCAGTTGAGTATATTTGTATGCATGTTATGTGCACAAGAAGCATTGTTTTGTTTTTGAGTAACGCTATTTACGTACTTAATTGTCTAACTCTTATAATTACTAAATCGTCATAATTTGGAAACTTTTGTTGAACTCTGAATGTACCAGGAGAAACCAAATTGGAAAAAGGACCATACTGTAATCCAAATGGGTCTGTTTACTGCAGCTCCGAATACACCAGATTGCATCTCAGAGCATCTAGGTTTAAAAAAAAAATTTAAAACCCAAACCCTTCCGCCCCCACTCCCCCACGGCCTGTTGCAAAAGCATTTCGGCCTGTTACTATAAAAGATAATGAAAATCCTGCCCGCTGTTTGGTTGCTTGGCAGAGCATTGCGAACGTGTCAACAACATCGGAGAATTTGAACAATATTGGAGGTATTTTTAAATACCTTTTATAAGACAATGTGCAGTGAAATGGGAGGAACTAGAGTTTATTTTGTCATAAGGTAGTATGATTATGCATGACACGAAGTATTTGCTAGTCTAGTACTGGAGAAATTAGCGTTTGGATGCGCATATTGCGGCTTTAAGTTTAGCTTCTTTGTTTCTGTTATTCCGTATTGGAATTCTCTTCCGTCATCATTGGTAAATTGCAAAATTGCAACTTTTTCCACTGCAATCCGCAGTGCCAGTGTTGATCTATTGATTTGATACACTTCTCTCTCCGTCTTCGTTATACTATAGTCCCTAGGACCTTTGAAGACTAATATTTATGAGGTTATGAGGTTATAATTTACAGAGTGGCTATATTCCCGGCAGCCGGCATATATCTGATGGCTGCCGGGCACGGTCTTCGATTTCCTAAATGCCCGGCAGTTTTTAATTTTCAGCGTTATCTCAATTAAAGGCTCACAATGCGCATCCAAACGCTAATCTCGCTGATTTTGAACGGTTTGGGAGACCACATACACAATAATCTACATAGACATAGTTGGGTGCCATCTATCAAATAAAGTGGGTATTGAAATTTTGACGAAATTTCACCTGCAACCATAAACGGTAAAACCTATCCTATAATATATTCCTCAGTAATAAGTCACGTTGACTTACAGTTACATGACATTCTAACTATCTTACCACTATAACAGACACAAAGAAGCTAAACTTAAGGATCCATTTAAAGCCACAATATGCGCATCCAAAAATTCCAAACGCTAATTTCTCCAGTACTAGACTAGCAAATACTTCGTGTCATGCATAATCATACTACCTTATGGCAAAATAAACTCTAGTTCCTCCCATTTCACTGCGCGTTGTCTTATAAAAGGTCCTTTTAAAAATACCTCCAATGTTGTTGAAATTCTCCGATGTTGTTGACAGTTTCCCCAATCTCCAAGCAACCGTGCAGCGGTGCCGCGGTACAGCGGTACGGGCGCAGCAAAGATAAAAACATGTGACGTCACGTCACCACTTCAAGGCAATTTTGTTTGGGAAACAGTCGGCGTTTGCGCCAGAATGCCAGTTTTCTCACCTCTTTCTTGTGGGTTTTAAGCAAACGCGCAGTGAAATGGGAGCAACTAGAGTTTATTTTGTCATAAGGTAGTATGATTATGCATGACACGAAGTATTTGCTAGTCTAGTACTGGAGAAATTAGCGTTTGGATGCGCATTGTGAGCCTTTAAGTAAACAAGGGTTAGGGTTAGGGTTAGGGTTAGGGTTAGGAACTGCCGGGCATTTAGGAAATCGAAGACCGTGCCCGGCTGCCGGACATATAGCCACAGCGTATAATTTACGTCACAGTAACAGTTCCTTTTAAAACTGTTATTGTTAATCAGTTCATAATTCATCCTTCAAGTTCATAATGATAAAGTTCATGATTGGACTCTAAATTTCGACAAATCGCGACTGGTCAAAACCCACACCAAATCCACCAAAAATCGTCGGTATACCATGTGGGCATTGGTCAGAGAATATACAAACACGTGTTTGTATAATATATCTATTACTAATCTATCATTCTATGGTCAGGAAACTCGGACTAGGCGGCAGGCCTACGGCTACGGGTCGCAGTGATTTTTGGGGAATCGACCGTATTACCTAATAACTTAGGTATTATTTATTATTGCAACGATATGCAACCCTAAATGATCTTACCTCCAAGCTGATCAGCTGATACGACATTGCTGTCGAGTTGAAATAAACATAAAACACATATTGAACTTAGTATTGGTAAAGATACAAAGTTCAAGAAGCGTGCCATTTTTTGGTTGAAAGGAAGACGTGGAAAGACGGATGCCACGGAACGGAAGTTTCATGAAAGTAATTTATAATGTATATTTTGTTTAAACATTCCTTTATATATTCAGTCTTTGACAATTTTTACTTGTTCATAAAACTAAAATTTATAACACATTCTCTAAAGTATCAGAAATTCTCTACCACAGTCTATATTTTATTGCCCTTATATGGTGATTGGTCAGAACCAGAAAAAGTAAGAAAAAGAAAGAATGGCGTTTACCTATAAAATATGGTCTCCGTAGGGCCGTGTAGTAAATTGTAGGGTTTCTTGTTGTTACGGTGTTTCTTAGCTGATTTAAATGCCAGGTAATATAGGTTCATCCCCTCTTCACCCCCATACGGGCTTACACACAATGCCCCCAGAAGAGGTGGAGAGGTTATCATCGTTGTTTGAGAAATTGGATGTGAATAAAGATGGAAAGATCGACGTTGAAGACCTATCGGCGGGTTTGCATGCAATGGGGATACCAACCGTTGCTGGGCAAGCAGAGGCAAGTATTATGTTAGCTCATGTTGATTTGAAAGCTGGCGACGTTGAGCCCACCCATGCGGTCCCACCCAAGGTTAATCCATAACTAGGCGTATTATGAAGAGTGAAGTTGTTTTCGTAGATGTAATGTTGCATCTCTCAGTCTCAGCCCTGGCAACGCAGTCGCAAACCATAATTTGGCATAGCTCCAAGAAACGGTATTGCTAGGGTTAGAATACCGAGACAATCCGATATAGATTATTAGATATATACCAGGGTTCTCCCCAGGATGAAATTGAAACAGGGGGAGGGGAAAGGGAGGGAAAACTAGGGGGGTCCGGGGGGGGTTTTTTTACCGTACCACTAATTAATGCGTAAAATCGCCACCACACCATAGACGGTATTTGGGGTTCTTGTATATATAAGATAGCCGAGTCTGTGTACAGTTAGTGTTGTGTCCGGGACAGGTTAACTGTTTGTAATTGTGTATGGTCTGCAGTGCATGCGTGGTACGGTCAAAATACACGCGTTGGTGGTCCTGGTCGAATGGGAATTCTTGACGATCGATGTCAAACTTTTATTGTGGTGGAATTTAAACGGGGCGCAACGATTGAAACAGGGGGGAGTTTTCCCAAACAGGGCGCGCGCGCCCCGTTTGCGCAACATAGGGAGAACCCTGCCCTAGTAGTAGTAGTGCTGATACTGATAGTGATAGGGTCAGGAGGTACGGTTCGATATATCGGAAAGTACCTCGGGGTACTATACGATATGTCGCTGCGTACCCTGCATTGGCCCACCATACATAGCTCCAAGAAACGGTATTGCTAGGGTTAGAATACTGTAGAATATATGTATATTGACATTAGTCACACAGCCTGGTTGGGTTAACCGTACCATGACTTTCAGCCAACTGATGTCGTAATACATACACTGTCAAGTTACCACATCAGAAGAGTTTAACCCTCGTTGATCCCCACTTACCCCACTTCACTTACCCCAGTTGAAGAAACCTCAAAACATCGCAATCCAATAACAAGAGCCGCAGAGCGTCTGGGCTCATCTGAGGTCTGTTGCTACTAGGGGTGCAACGAATCACAACTTTACGGTTCGGTTCGGTTTTCGGTTTTCACATTTCGGTTCAGTTATTTTCGGTTCGAATATTTGCGATCAATTACAAATCTTATAACACCAAACAGAAGTGCAAATTTAATA